GCGAGTTGCGTGGGGCTTCCTGTTGGGCTTCCGGGAACCCAGGGCTGGAAATGTCCGTTCGGCCCCCGCTTCGACCCGCTGGGCTCTTGGGGGCCTCTTTCCGGCCTCCTGGATGCTGCTAGGGGGCCTCTTGGGGGCCTCTTGGGCTCTCTTGGGGCCTCCTCGGAGCATCCTGGACTGCTTCTTGAAGTCGTCATGGGACTCTCTTGGCATGTCTTCGGGGGCCTCTTAGAAAGAGCTTGACGCCTTTTGGGTGCCGTCTTGGGGCCTCTTGGAGCCTCTTTAAGGCTTCCTGGGGGCCTCTTGGGGCCTCTTGGGGGCCTCTTAGGACCTCTTGGGGACTTCCTGGGGGCCTCTTGGGGCCTCTTGGGGGCATCTTGGGGCGGAGAGCTTGATTTTTCAGTTCGCGTTCCCTCTTGGGCCCCTCTTGTGGCCTTCTTGGGGCCCTCTTGCGCAGTCTTGGGCGGCTCTGGGGCCGTCTCTGGGCCGTCTCGGGGCTCTCTTGGGCCGTCTTGGAGCCCTCTTGGGGGCCTCTTGGGCCGTCTTGGAGCGGTCTTGGGAGCCTCTTGGGCGGTGCTTTAGCGCCGAACCACGAAACAGCGAGAATGCAACACAACACTGGAAACAAAAAAGAAAAAAACTGAAATCAACGATTTTGCCCTCTCGGGGCGGTCTTGGACGGCATCTTATTAAAGGCCTCGTGGGTCGTCTTGGGGGCCTCCGGGGCAGTTTAAAACGCATCGCGCGTCGCCAGAGACCCCTGGAAGGGCGTCTTGGGGGTGTCTCGAAACCGTCTGGGGCCGCCGGGATTGCTGTCTGAGGGCTCCCCGGGGCGATTTTAGGCCTCCCACAGGCGGGCCCGGGCCCCGGGCCCCACATTTGCGGTCGAGGTTTCGGCCCTCGGCCTCCAGGCCTGGTGCGCCATTATATGTGTATAAACCATCGCGCGCGCTTCGCGCGCGCTCAAGGTTTAGCGAGCTTGAAGGATAGCGCGTAATTAGCGGAGGGAAGAAGGGAGGTCAGCAGTGGCAGGCAACCTGGTCAAATTGGCCACGATTGCGTCCTTCGTCCGTCGTCCTTCGTCCGTCGTCGTCGCCACCCTCGTCGCCGTCGTCTGCGTCGTCGTCTGTCGTCCGAGGCGCTCTTCGCGGCCAAGGCTGGCTTCGTCTCGAAATTCTTGTCCAAACGCACCCCTGGGCGTCGCAGTCATTTTTTGCATCTTGGGCTGTCTGGGAAGCCCTTTGGGCGTCTCGGGAGGGCCTTTTTCCGGCCTCCTGGATGCTGCTAGGGGGCCTCTTGGGGCCTCTTGGGCTCTCTTGGGGCCTCCTCGGAGCATCCTGGACTGCTTCTTGAAGTCGTCATGGGACCCTATTGGCATGTCTTCGGGGGCCTCTTAGAAAGAGTTTGACGCCTTTTGGGTGCCGTCTTGGGGCCTCTTGGAGCCTCTTTTGGGCTTCTTGGGGGCCTCTTGGGGCCTCTTGGGGGCCTCTTGGGGGCCTCATGGTGACTTCCTGGGGGCCTCTTGGGGCCTCTTGGGGGCATCTTGGGGCGGAGAGCTTGATTTTTCAGTTCGCGTTCCCTCTTGGGCCCCTCTTGGGGCCTTCTTGGGGCCCTCTTGCGCCGTCTTGGGCGGCTCTGGGGCCGTCTCGGGGCTCTCTTGGGCCGTCTTGGAGCCCTCTTGGGGGCCTCTTGGGCCGTCTTGGAGCGGTCTTGGGAGCCTCTTGGGCGGTGCTTTAGCGCCAGAACCACGAAACAGCGAGAATGCAACACAACACTGGAAAAACAACGGAAGTCAACGATTTCGCCCTCTCGGGGCGGTCTTGGGCAGCATCTTATCAAAGACCTCTTGGGGCGTCTTGGGGGCCTCCGGGGCAGTTTAAAACGCATCGCGCGTCGCCAGAGACCCCTGGAGGGCGTCTTGGGGGTGTCTCGAGACCGTCTGGGGCCGCCAGGATTGCTGTCTGAGGGCCCCCTGGGGCGATTTTAGGCCTCCCACAGGCGGGCCCGGGCCCCGGGCTCCACATTTGCGGTCTTGGTCCCTGCCCTGGGCCCCCGGATCCATATGCATAAATGAACCACAGCGAAGCTTGCATGGTGTAAGAATGCCCCGATGATGTGAGAACTCAAAGCCTGGAATCCGCACTGTGCGCAAGGCACACTAACGTCTCCCGATCGAAACTGGATCTCGCACTCATAATCCTTTGCGTTTCAAGGACCATGCATCTACAATACCGAATGCCTCGGAAAGTAAGCGGAGATGTATAGCATCACTCTGAATCAGCTTCTGACCTGTACATCTTTTCTCATCACCGGCAATAAGGGAAACCATACAAGCAGCAATTGCACACACACACACACAACCGAGCAGACAAAACAACGTCGATGAGACACACCCACTCCACTCAACAGCAGCCCACAACCACAGTCAGAAGATTCAGAATAACAAGCTAGGACCTCTCAGAAACTCAAGTCCGAAAACTTGTTTATCATCATGGCCGGCATGCTCGGCAAATGTACGACTCGTGGGCACTCACATCAACACACGCACACACAAACGCAGACTGATACGCTGAGCACAATGCATAGTCTTTGACTCAGAACTCAGACAGGGATAACTGGTTCTTTCGCCTCGGCTTCTATTAAGACGCCTCCGATTAGAGGTGTCAGAAGTATGGCTGTCCTCATCGATCTGCAAACATGATCCACAGCGAAGCTTGCGTGGTGTAAGCATGCTCCGATGATGTGAGAACTCAAATCTGAAATCCGGACCATGCGCAAGGCATACTAAAGTCTGCCGAATAGAACTGGATCTCGCACTCACAACCCTTTGCGCTTCAAAGACCATGCATCTACAATACCGAATGCCTCGGAAAGTAAGCGGAGATGTATAGCATCACTCTGAATCAGCTTCTGACCTATACATCTTTCTTCGTCACCGGCATGAAGGGAAACCATACAAGCAGTAACTGCACACACACACACGTACACACACAACTGAGCAGGCAGAACAACCTCGATGAGACGCACTCACTCCACTCAACAGCAGCCAACCGAACAAAGGAGCGACTCACAACCACAGCCAGAAGATTCAGAATCACAAGCTAAGGACCTCTCAGAAACTCTAGTCCGAAAACTTGTTTATCATAATGGCTGGCATACTCGGCAAATGTACGACGCGTGGGCACAAATACAAACACACGCACACACAAACGCAGACTGATACGCTGAGCACAATGCACAGTCTTTGACACAGAACTCAAACAGGGATAACTGGTTCTTTCGCATCGGCTTCTATTCAGAAGCCTCCGATTAGAGGTGTCAGAAGTATGGTTGTCCTCATCGATCTGCAAGAATGAGCCACAGCGAAACTTGCGTTGTGTAAAATCCCCACCATCCTTTGCGCTTCAAGGACCATGCATCTACAATACCGGAGAGTAAGCGGAGATGTATAGCATCACTCTGAAACAGCTTCTGACCTATTATTTACATCACCAGCATTAAGGGAAGTCATACAAGCGGCCACTGCACACACATACATACACACACACGAAACCGAGTAGACAGAACAACCTCGATGAGACGCACTCATTCCACTCAACAGCAGCAAACCGAACAAAGGAGCGACTCACAACCACAGCCAGAAGATTCAGAATCACAAGCTAGGACCTCTCAGAAACTCTAGTCCGAAAACTTATTTATCATCATGGCCAGCATGCTCGGCAAATGTACGACGCGTGGGCACACATACAAACACACGCACACACAAGCGCATGCTGACACGCTGAGCACAATGCACAGTCATTGACACAGAACTCAGACAGGGATAACTGGTTCTTTCGCATCGGCTTCTATTCAGAAGCCTCCGATTAGAGGTGTCAGAAGTATGGTTGTCCTCATCGATCTGCAAGAATGATCCACAGCGAAGCTTGCGTAGTGTAAAAATGCTCCGATGATGTGAGAACTCAAGTCTGGAATCCGCACTGTGCGCAAGGCACACTAAGGTTTGCCGAATAGAACTGGATCTCATCCTCACAATCCGTTGCGCTTCAAAGACCATGCATCTACAATAGCCAATGCCTCGGAAAGTAAGCGGAGATGTATAGCATCACTCTGAATCAGCTTCTGACCTATATATCTTTCTTCGTCACCGGCATGAAGGGAAACCATACAAGCAGTAACTGCACACACACAACTGAGCAGACAGACAACCTTGATGAGACGCACTCACTCCACTCAACAGCAGTCAACCGAACAAAGAAGTGACTCCCAACCACAGCCAGAAGATTCAGAATCACGAGCTAGGAGCTCTCAGAAACTCTAGTCCGAAGTCTTGTTCATCATCATGGCTGGCATGCCCGGCACATGTACGACGCGTGGGCACTCATATCAACACACGCACACACAAACGCATACTGACACGCTGAGCACAATGCACAGTCATTGACACTGAACTGAGCCAGGAATAACGTCCTCACAATCCTGTGCGCTTCAAGGACCATTCATCTACAATAGCCAATGCCTCGGAAAGTAAGCGGAGATGTATAGCATCACACAGAATCAGCTTCTGACCTACACATCGCTTTTCATCACCAGCATGAAGGGAAACCATACAAGCAGCAACTGCACATACCCACAGACACACTTTTTCGTCGGCGGCGAGACGGAGGCGATCCGCACCAGCGTGTGACTAACCGCACACACACAACCGAGCAGACAGAACAATCTCAATGGAATGCACTCAACCCACTCAACAGCAGTCAACCGAACAAAGGAGCGACTCTGAACCACAGCCAAGATATAACCAATCACGAGCTGGGAGCTCTCAGAAACTCTAGTCCGAAAACTTATTTATCACCATGGTCAGCACATTCGGCACATGTAGGCGTGGGCACACATACAAGCACACGCACACACAAGCACATACTGATACGCGGAGCACAATGAAACAACCAACATATAATCATGGACACTGAACTCAGACAATGGATAACTCGTTCTCTCGCACCAGCTTCGGTTGAAAAGCCTCCGGCTCGAGGGATAAGAAGCACAGCTGTCCGCATCTACCTTGCATGTAGTAAGAATGCTCATCTGGAATCCGCACCGTGCGCAAGGCATTCGAGTCTGCCGAACGCAAGCGGATCCATCCTCGCATTCCTTTGCGCTTCACAGACCACGCAAATACCATAACCAATGATTCAGACAGTAAGCGGAGACTGTTTTCCAATGACACGCTCACATTGGATCAAGCAGCCCAACTAATCAAGCAACGAGCTTGCAACTCTCGACCGTACCTGCCGGCGTCCTGTATAGCCAGCTGGCTAACAGCTATAAAAGCACGACCGCACATAGCGGCACCTTGCAGACCAGAAGCCCGTCGCCTTGCCACACCGAACATGTCGGCCGTACCCCATATCAACAATCTGTGTGAAGCTCGGAACGGCAAAACAAACAAAAAAAACGGCGAGGACAAATGTGAGCGTCGTGCGCTACCAGTCCACAGTCTAATTGTTGTCGCCCCTCCCAGGACAAGTACGACAGGGAGTTCACAATACGTACGTAAAACATATTATACAGAATGTCCTCCACAACTTGTGTGTAATGGTTCTCTCTCTCTCTCTCTCTCTTCTCCAACACACGACTTCACTTGGTTTTGCGTTCCATCTTGACGAAGGTGCCCTTGCAAGAGAACGAGAGCGGAAGGAACACCAAGCACATCAGAATAACCATGGGCGTGGCGCTGGCATTGTACAAGTGCCAAGCGCCCACGAGACCGTTGGCTGCGAGCGACAATACTGGGACGATGGATCGGCGATTGAGGGGCTGCTGACCATCGATGTTGACAATGGACAGCACGGCGAAGATGGCGAACTGCAAAATAAGAGCGAAGTCAACCGCATCCCCAAGGAGCGCGCCGAGCCCGATGCGTTTCTTGAGCGCTGTCAAAATGGCGATCGCCCCGTAGACGAGCACGTCCGGACTGCAGAAGCCAACGCCGGCAGGGACTAGCTTTCTGCAACCATCCTTTACCGTGGTCATCTGGTGCACGTTCTCAATGACGACAAGTGTGTTCTCCATTATGTTATTGGCGACCGACGAGAGAACCGTGCAAGATATCATGCCAATCGCACGATCAGGCAACGTGCCTCGAAGAGCGTCGAAACCATTCGTGAACCTGGCGATGGCCCCTGGTTCCACGACGAGCAAGACCGACGCGGACATGAGCGAGTAGACGCACGTGGTCATCACGCACGCGGTGAGGATCCCCAAGGGCAAGTTCCTGCGCGGATCCTTCACGAGGCCGCCCTCCTGGAGCATGCCAGGAAACCCCCCGTAGGCGAAAATCGCCACGTGGATGCCCGACAGGAAGCCTGCGGGCTGCGTCCTGGACCAGTCCAGCAGGGCCACGGTGGGGCGCAACGACCCTCCTGCCAGCAGTCGGAGAGGCCCACTGAGAACCAGCAGGCCCACCGTAATGAGCTCGACGACGCCCAGGGTCCAAGCAACGTTGGCCGTAAACAGCGCCCCGCTGATGCGGTACACGGAGAAGAGGACAACGAGCAAGACCAGGCACACCACGACCGGCGTGGTTCCAGCCGGGTCCGCCGCGAGGAGGTCCGAGACACAGTCGCCGAAGAACGAGGTCTGCATGGTCACCGCGAAGATGAGCTCGATCGTGATGAGCTGGCCATTGACGAAGGACACGAGCGGACCCCAGAAGCCACCGAGGCCCGCGCTGGCGGCCCGGTGCAGGCAGTCACTCGTGGGAAACTGCTCGTAGAGGTGCAGCAGCGGCACCGCGGACAGGCTCGCGAGGAGCCCGGCGAGGAGGAAGTTCGCCCAGAGCGCGTTGTCGCAGCCGTCTCCCGCGAGCTTGATCAGCGTCTGGTGGGTGCCAGTGCCGATCATGTTTCCCGCAGTGTAGACTGCCATGCCAAGCATGGAGAACTCGCTCATTCTGATACTCGTGGCCCGCGCCTAGATGTGCCCCTGAAGCAAGCCAGATCGTGCCAGTACGGCTGGGATCGCTTGAGCCAGAATGGCTACGGGCAGAAAGTAAGCGGAGATGTATAGCATCTCTCAGACTCAGCTTCTGACCTATACATCTTGATTCACCACCCGCATAACTGGAAACCATAACAGCAGCAGTTGTAGACACGACCGAACAGACAGAATAACCTCAATGAGAAGCACCCACTCCACTCAATTGCAGCCAAGAGAACAAAGGAGCGGCTCATAACCATGGCCAAGAGATTCGCAATCACGAGCTAGGAGCTCTCAGAAAGTCTAGTCCGAAATCTTGATCTGCAAGGTCGGCATGCTTGGCAAATGTACGCGTGGGCACACATATAGACACACGCACGCACGCACGCACGCACGCACGCACGCACGCACGCACGCACGCACGCGCACGCACGCACACACACACACACACACACACACACACACACACACACACACACACACACACACACACACACACACACACACACACACACACACACACACACACACACACACACTTTTTACGTCGGCGGCTAGGCAAAGTCCCTGCGCTGGCGAAGAAGTGAAACGGGGCTACCCTTGAGCGAATCATGCCACCGTGCAGGAGAGGGGGGGGGGGGGGGAAAGACGGCAAAGCGGCGGCCGAGAGAAGAGGAGAAAAAAGAGGGGTGGGGCCGCTCGGCAAAGCGGGATAACCAGGGCGCATTTGACGCGGCCGTTACCGCCGCTGGGGAGCCGGCAGCAGCCGGGCGGCGGGGGCCGGCGACGGCGGGGGCGGCGGCTGACCAGGTCGGCCGGCAACGGTGCGCGCAGCGAGCAGTCGGAGAAGTAGCAGTACCCCAAGGGAGGAGACGGCGAAGCCCCCCTGCAACACACCGACACAGACACACACACACACACAAACACAAACACCCACACACACATATCTATATATATATACACACACACACAAATGCATGCTGACACGCGGAGCACAGTGCAACAACGAAGCACAGTCATGGACATCTGACCCTGTCGCATCGGCTTCGATTAAGAAGCCTCCGACTAGGTGTCAGAAGTGTGGTTGCCCCCATCGATCTGCACATGAACCAAAGCGAAGCTTGCGTGGTAAGAATGCTCAGCCAGTGTAACAACTCAAGCCTGCAATCCGTACTGTGCGCAAGGCACGCGAGTCTGCCGAATGGAACTGAATGTAATCCTCGTATTCCCTTCTGCGCTTCAAGGACCATGCCGGTACAATCCAGCATCGTGCCCCTCGGCACATTGAAGCGTGGAAGCATGAGGAGGGGGGAGGAGGAGGAGGAGGAGGAGGAGGAGGAGGAGGAGGAGGAGGAGGAGGAGGAGAGGAGGAGAGGGAGGAGGAGAGAGGGGAGGAGAGGAGGAGGAGGGAGGGGGAGGAGGAGGAGGAGTAGGAGGAGGAGGAGGAGGAGGAGGAGGAGAGAGAGAGGAGGGAGGAGGAGGAGGAGGAGGGGAGGAGAGGAGGAGGAGAGGAGGAGGAGGAGGAGGAGGGGAGGAGGAGGAGGAGGAGGAGGAGGAGGAGGATCAGGAGGAGGAGGAGGAGGAGGAGGAGGAGGAGGTCAGGGCTCCTCCCTCTTCCTGCTCGCAGACTGCTCTGCACGCACCGCCTGGTTCATTTCCGAGCCCCCCTTCCACGCGTGCCCGCCCGAGGATGGTGCACTTCCCGCATGGCAGCTAAGGCCTGAACCCCTCTTCCACGCGTGCCGGCCTGGGGATGGCGCACCTCCAGCACGGCAGTGAGCGCCTGAACCCTCATTACGTTACATGCCCGCCCGCCCGAGAACGGTGCACGTCCCGCCTGGCTGCTAACTCCTAGACCCATCATCCCACGCGCACCCGCTCTAGGATCGTGCACCTCCGGCATTCCCAGGCGCTGCTCCCAACGATCCCTCGTTGAAAACAGTGGATATGCGCCCTAAGCTTGTAAGATGGCCCGTGCAGGCAACCAAAGACACGAAGATGGCCTCAGACGCCTCGACAACGGTCCGACATGGCCCCAGGGCGGCCGAACAGTAATTCAAGACGGCCCACGATGCCTTCAAGAGGACCCGAAAGGACCACAAGAGGACCTCCAACAGAGTCCGAAGAAGCCCAAATCATTGAGTGCCATTGGGTTTTTGAATGATTATCGCATTCTCGCCTTTTCGGACTGCCGTCAGCTCAAGACGGCTCAAGAGGATTCCGCGATCCTCCAAAAGATATCCAAGACGGCCCCAAAACGGCCCAAGAGGCCCCCAAGAAGCTGTCAGGAAGCTCACAGGAGGCCCCCAAAAGGCCCCCGGATGGGGGCCCAAGAAGCCGCTTCCTCCTCCTCCTCCTCCTCCTCCTCCTCCTCCTCCTCCTCCTCCTCCCATCCTCCTGCTCCTCCACCTCTTTCTTCTCCTCCTTCTTCTTATTCGTCTTCTCCTCCTCCTCCTCCTCCTCATCATCATCATCCTCCTCCTCCT